GAATTTGCATCGTGCAGTCAAATGAGAATACATCGAGTTTAATATGGTCTCCAGTTTTCCATAGGAGGAACATTGTTCATCTACTGCTTCCCTTAGCCTATGTTTAAAATTAATGATTTTAGTCTTTATTAGTGATTTAGTATAATTAGAAATATTTTTGTATGATTATTTCAGGATATTGAAAATATAAATTGAATTCATGCCACGAGCAAAATATAAATGTATCGATGCTAAGAATGACAAAAGTTATTGCATCGTTTGTATGCAATAAACAATTGTATATTTCTTAATATGAGATTATGATCAATGTCCCTGGGAAAGTTTTGCCTATGGTGGAGAAACACCATAGACGTTACCATAATTCACAGGATACCATAAACGTGAAGAGGGTACTGCCATAGTCCCCATGGAGATCTTCAATCTTGGATTTATTTAGGGAATACGAATAGGTGCTATACAATGATGATGATACTATCTGCGGTTTATCCATTTTCTAAGCTACTTAAATATTACTCGAGATATTAGGACGCAAGAAACTCATCGAAAGTGTACGAGAAAATTTGTATTCATAGGTTTACACTAGGTTTACATATGATTTCTATAAACTTCAATGGGTTTTCATAAACTAAATTCTGTTGATGAAATCAGAATACATCGCATTTGTCTTCGTCTCACGGACGTTCCTCACAAGATACCATGAGATCAGTGAGATAGACTGAAAATGCTCGGGAAAATCTTTACATTAGGAGTTGCCACGTGTTCCTTTGAATACTATTAAACCGATGCTTCGAACTGTTTGCCCTTCGAGCAGGCTTTCAGAAGAATGGGAAAGGTGGAGCTCTCCGGCGTGGAAATAGTGGAAAATCGTGGAAAATTGGCGGACGAAAAGTCACCGACTGGGGAAACATGAGTGGCGGAAAACGTGAACGATTTTCCAGCGAATAGATTTCCCATCCTGGACAAAAGCGTTCTGAATTCGCAGTAGGGAAACCCAAGTCTTTAGATCACTTCCAGCGGACGTATAAATACAATAAGAAGGTAAATAAATTTATCTGCGATGACGAGAGAGAAATCAATGTGGACAGATTACAGATTATTATCGAACTGATACGAACATTTTGTTTGGATTGTTTACTTTATTACTAGGATAGCATAAAATCAGAGGAATTCTAGTTTTCAAATGCGGAAAGGACGTTTTGTGTTGACCGTCGATCGTACGGTTTGCACGACCAGGTATGCATACCTGGGTTCGAATACAATGTAGAGATTATGGCAATAAAATTACGGGCTAAGGAAATTACTTTTACAGTTATATGAGATGGAAGCAACCTTAGACTGTTCCTTTCATTCAGCAGTTTTCATTCCGAAGCAATAAAACAATAAATAATGAAAGAACAACATATCGTTCCTTAAAAATAGTTAAGAGAATATTTTTATGGTATTACGTTCGGAGATGAGAGGCATTTGAATTATTCGATGAATACCCTTTATATAAAATTCCCGTTGGCTAACGACTGGTATTCCCGGCTGGAATTCGGAGGGCGAAACCAGGCGAGGAACTTAGTTGTCCCGAGGAATTTACAACTAGTGTAAAAGAAACCGGCAGGGAAAAAAGATCACCGTGAAATTAAGTGAGAAGTGACCGTTTAATGAGCGCACCAATTATCTCGGACTCGGCTATTGGGACTACAGTAAGGCGACGGAGGTGGACTTTCCCTTGATGAGTCGCCACTCGTCGCCGATTTGTTAATTCTTAACCAACTCGCTCAGCCGGAATACGAAAGTGGATTCAAATTACTTGGAAATGTATGCCTATTTAAATATCCTTATTCCTCCTCCTTCCTTCTTATTCTCTTTAGCAGGTTTTGTAGAAGAAGAATTAAATATCAAATGCGTTTAATTCTTTCTCTGAATCCTTTTTTGGCTAAAAAATTTATTGAGTGAAGTATTTACAGACGATTATGAAAATAAGATATTTGTGTATAAAGTTACATGTATATGAGTTTGGAATTGTTTATTTATCGTCAGAAGAGCACGAGGAGAACTACTTTTATATGGATGAGTTATTAGGAGCTTAGACTTGTCTTTGAACTCGGAGACCCGTTGTAGCGACCTGTGTGTACAACCAATTGTAATTTGAGTATTTCGGTAAAGGGAATACAGAAATCTCAGAAAGTGTTTTCGAGGAAATACAATAATCCTATTCAGTTATCTAATCTAATTTCTCAGACAAACTCTATTTACTATGACTATATCTGTCGAAAGCCCCATCTTCAAATAATGATATAATGAGTCAAATACAAGGCAAACGAAATCTGATACCGTTAGGTAACAGAGTACTAGAAAAACGAGAAACCGAGCAATGGTTAAAATTAGTCTTCGAAAAAAGTGAAAGGTAATTAATGATCTTTCCGAGAACGTTAGATCTAGTAGAATAGACAACAGAGTAAGACAAAAAGAGAAAACAGGCAGTCTTTAAAATGCATTTTCCAATGAGAATGTGAAAATCAATTAAGGGCCTCTCTAATGCCAGGCGCTGAGAAAATCTAAGAAGGTTTCGTTCAAGGTTTGTAATGAAAATGGGAATGATTTACGATACCACTGGATAATGGAGTATTACAACACGGGGAACCAGGTAGTGCTTAAAATGTGTCTTCGAAGGAGAAAGGGAAATTCAATTAGGGGCCTCTCTAATGCCAGGCGCTGAGAAAATCTAAGAAGTTTTCCTTCATGATTTGTAATGAAAATGGGAATGAATTACGTTACCGCTAGACAATAGAGTAAGACAAAAGGAGGAAACAGGCAGTCCTTAAAATGCGTTTCCAATGAGAATGTGAAAATCAATTAAGGGCCTCTCTAATGCCAGGCGCTGAGAAAATCTAAGAAGGTTTCCTTCAGGGAAATTTCTATTGCATTAGACAATTTCTTCCATGTAAGAAAAGCATGAGGAAAAAGCTTGTGCAGCTTCATTAGTGTGAAGAAATGGAACAGACTGTTAGGAAATGTTAGCAAGTTCAACGGTCGTTGGAATTGAGGGACAATGATTTGCTGCGTACAAAGGGTTTAAACGCCTACGAGCCACTTAACATTCCCTCCAGAGCTAGGGAAGCAGAAAAGTTCTGTAGGTACATTCCTGAAGAAAACTTCAAGGAACCAGGTAGCTGGATTTCTACATACAATAGCCGTTGCCAAATTATTCTATTAGAAAGTTTAAAGAAATTCTGTTCAATATAGTATTACGAAGATAATTACAATTTCTATCAAGTTTATATCATCAAATTTATTGCATTATGACATTAAACTACTCTAAATACTTTTAGCAATATTGCTAGTATAAGAATTTTGTTTATTAAGGGTTTAAACGCCTACGAGCCACTTAACATTCCTTCCAGGGCTAGGGAAGTAGAAAAGTTCTGTAGGTATATTCCTGAAGGAATCTTCAAGGAACCAGGTAGCTGGATTTCTACATACAATAGCCGTTGCCAAATTATTCTATTAGAAAGTTTAAAGAAATTCTGTTCAATATAGTATTACGAAGATAATTACAATTTCTATCAAGTTTATATCATCAAATTTATTGCATTATGACATTAAACTACTCTAAATACTTTTAGCAATATTGCTAGTATAAGAATTTTGTTTATTAAGGGTTTAAACGCCTACGAGCCACTTAACATTCCTTCCAGGGCTAGGGAAGTAGAAAAGTTCTGTAGGTATATTCCTGAAGGAATCTTCAAGGAACCAGGTAGCTGGATTTCTACATACAATAGCCGTTGCCAAATTATTCTATTAGAAAGTTTAAAGAAATTCTGTTCAATATAGTATTACGAAGATAATTACAATTTCTATCAAGTTTATATCATCAAATTTATTGCATTATGACATTAAACTACTCTAAATACTTTTAGCAATATTGCTAGTATAAGAATTTTGTTTATTAAGGGTTTAAACGCCTACGAGCCACTTAACATTCCTTCCAGGGCTAGGGAAGTAGAAAAGTTCTGTAGGTATATTCCTGAAGGAATCTTCAAGGAATCAGGTAGTATAAGAATTTTTTTTATTTAAATAATTATTATTGTTAGGAGTTAGTTTTATGAAGTTGTAAGTAGTTATTGATTAAGATAAGATAGACTGATTATCCTGCACGGTTATATTCTATATGCCGTACGGGTTGTTCAATTCTTACGGTATCTAAATGTACATGTGTCATGCATTTGTGAGGGGAAAAAAGTGAAAGTTAATTATACAGTCACTAAGAAGCAGGGTAGCAGAAATATGGTGGAGATGCATTTGAAAAGTGTCTCCGACCACGCCTTTAAGGGTTAGCTGCCCTCCAATGGAATTTCTCCAAAGGCTACCCCGACTACCTGAGTTTTCCTAGGAGTATAAAAGTCTGTCGGATTTCTTACACATGTTCACGCGTATATTAGGTATTTGCAATACGGTATACTGATTCAATGGTTTAATTAAATATTATTTAATTTAATGAAATAAATAATTATTATTCGACTTTTTAAATATTCTCGAAATGAAGAAGATGAAGAATGTTGCATTAAATTAAATGCTTCATCTATACGTTAATCACATTTTTAATTCTAAATTAACTAACAATTGCAACCACTTATAGATAAATGTGTACTTTTTTCGAGCACTCCCATCATAATCAATTTCCCACGACAGACACAACGCCCAGTCGACATAATCATTGTGTACCCACGAAAACGCTGTGAGCGTGAGATCGCTGGCTTTACAAGCGTCAGCACTTTCTCACGGTCCTGGGACTGATAGTTGCGAGGGAAACTTATAAAAAGAGCCCGGAGACCTCAGTTTCATTCAGTTGCGCTTCGACCACCGAACAGTCAATCGTCACAGACCTTTCGGTTTCTCTCTCGAGTCGCATATTTCGATTTCAGTTCGTGCAGTTATATTATTTCACAAATCGTTCATAAAATTATCTGTCTATTCGATTCCTGAATGAAAGAGCAGTGGTAATTACTTACCGGATGGATAGTTCGACTGCAGATTGTAATCGTCGACTTGTAATGTGCTGTTCGGTCCTGTCCTCGTGAATCTCACCACGTGGTATTGATTATCGTTCACTTTCACGCCAATCTCGCCGATAGGATGATCGTTAGTGCCCATGTTATAAACTGCGAACACGTTCCCCTTGACCTGGAAAATATTTTAAGAAATCGTTTCATAATGACAATAAATCGTGGTGTTAATTGTGTTTCGATAAAACGTGTAAAGGACGTTGCAATCAGTAACTCACTGAATCCTTGTTTATCTCATATGCTAATTATTTCATTATTTCTACTTTCAATGGATCTGAGCATTAGAGGAGAAAATGTTTGACTGCTGCTGAAGACGTGAGAATGTAATCAAACCGTAGGAACAGTATAAAAAAGAATTTACATTCATACATTTCATACGTGT